TTTACAATGCCTTCTAGAAGCCTTAAACTCAGCAGCAAGTTCCTGAAAACATGCCATACGTTAATAATTCTGAGTGTAAAACCGACAAATTACTTTAACACACCCCATGAGAACACAAGGAAATGGTTTCAAATTCCAACAAAACATAAAAGGTGACCAGAACTCTGAATCACTGGGATACACTAGTGTACTACCAATCAAATGTTATCTACTGAACAGATTTGCAAAAGAAATTACAAGATGGGGGGGGGCGGGCCACAGGTGGCACAGTGGTTAAGGGTGCTGGACTCCCACATGGCTGACCATGGTTCGAGTCCCAGACTTGGCAGCTTTCTTTCTCACTTTCTCTCTCTCTCAATCTCATTCTCGCTCTGTCCCTCTCTGGTCAAATTTAAATAAATAAATAAATAAAGTAAGTTAAATAAAATAACTCTTTAGAAAATAAATGACAAGATGAGGAGCAAGTTTCAAAGCAGTTTATAACAAGGTAAGGTCACGCTACAGTAGCAAGGTTGAGAGGCAGCATGCTGTAAAAACCAGTCTTTGAAGGAGTGGGTTATAGGGCTCTACCGTCTACTATCTGGACAACCCAGAGGGGGGGAAGGTTGTGTGTTTGTTTTGTTTGTTTGTTTTTTGTCACAGGGCACCTACCCTTACCAGAGACAGAGAAGAGTGAGAGAAAAAGAAAACGCTCCAACAGGACAAAGCTATGCTGCAATGCCTTCTCATTCCTCCTTCCTGCTGGGATTTGGGGCACATCCCTACGCACACACAGTGGTTTTATTTCAGTCATGGAGGCCAGGACTCAAACTGGGGTCACACATGTGAGATCCAGCTCCCTCTATACAGGGCTTACCCACTGCTCTACAGGGCTGGCCATTGTTTAATTTTAACAGTACAAACTGTATTGTTTCAAGTAGCTAATATTGGGTCAGAACGTGATATGGAGGTTAAGGCAGCTGGATCTCACAGGGCCGACTGAGAGGTTCAAGTCCAGGACCCAGAGGCCTGAAAATCATGCCAGGTATGTGTGGATGCATGCCCCAAATCCTGAGAGGACAACGGAGAAGGGATTGTAGAATGGCCCTCTCCCTCCCCCCCGGGGGGATTTCTCACTCTCTCTTCCTCTCTCTGGCAAGTGCATGCACCCCATACCAAACATACATACGTACATACATACAGAAAGTAGCAAACAGTTATTCGGTGGGAAAAAAAAAATCAATAGAACATATACTTCTATTTTAGTAACATGCCTGAAAATTAAGAAAAAGTTATAGTAGTTATACGTAGAGTTTAAATTTACTAATTAAAAAATCCAATGGAGAATTGCATGAAAAAGGAGCCAGCATGAGGATTCCATGATGTTGGTAATATCCGAGTTCTTCTTCGCACTGGCTGGAAAGTTCACACAGCTTCCATTGCTATCAGATTTCATTACTGATACATGTTAACATGTTCTTTGCTCATATGGATTTTTTTTTTATAATTTTAGAAGTTTTTATTCAATGTACAGACTATGAGAAAAAGTTCGTCAACTTTCTGCATGCACACAGTGAATATGGGAAAACTAACTGTACCGAGCCAGCCCATGGCGTGGTGGTTAAGGACGTTGGATCCCATGTGGCCATCTGTCTACGTCCCGAGCTCAGCGGCACGGGGAACACGCCTGGCATGTGTGCATGTGTACCCTTAGTCTCAAAGGGAGGAGAAAGAACTGCAGTATGATCATTCCCCATGGGGGGTGCTTTCTTTCTTCCTCTCTATCTCTGGCAAGTGCTTATGCCCTCCAGCAAATTAAAAAAAAAAAAAAAAAAACCTGTATGACCTAAAAAAACGTTTTATATTTTTTAAGGCCTTTTTCTCAACAAATTTCTGAAGCCATTTGAACGTTAAGAAACATAACATCCACTGAGGGAGGTGTTACCATCTAGCAGGGCAGGATCAGTGACTTTAGGTTTCTGTGTCCTTATATCGGGGGAAGAAATGCAAGAGCTATAAATACCTGCTCAGGGAGGCAAACCACTCCACCTCATGAGACAATTCCTGAAAAGACGATCATTCTAAGAATCACCACAGTGATTTAACCTTTAACTTTTAACCTTTCAGTCTCTTGGGTGCCTCATCTTTTTTTTTTTTTTTTTGAGAGGTTTTTGCTATAGGGTGCGTGCACTCACCAGAAAGACAGAGACAGAAAGTGAGAAATCACCCCCCAGGGGGGATGGCCACGCCGCAGTCCCTTCTCCTCCATTCTCCTCTCGGGATCTTGGGCACACACGCACACGCGCCCGGCATAAGTTTAAGCTACCGGGTCCGGGACGCAAACCGCAATTGACTTACATGGGAGTCCAGCGACACAGCCATTACGCCATCTGCTGGTCCCAGGTGCCTCATCTTTAAAATGAGATATATTAAAAGAGTTGCATTAAATAATATTCTATAAAGCACCTGGCCCACTGCCTAGCACGGACGACACGGCAGCCGCTTCTTTTTTTCCTAGAAAGCATGTGGACTCACGGGGTGGGGGGATGAGAAAGCACCCCCACATGGGGGTGGTAACAGTGCAATCCCTTTTCCATATGTCCTTTCCAGATTTAGGAGTCCCTGCACATGTGCTCAGTACAATTTTCAAGCTGCAAGGTCCAGGACTTGAACCAGGCAATCAGTCATGTGGGATCCAGCTACCAGCTAACTCTTTTTTGTTTTGCCAGAGGTCACAAGTGTTCACCAGAGAGGGCGGCAGAAAGACAGAGATTTAAAAAGCACCTCCCAATGGGGCAGGGTCATACAACAATCCCTTCTCCTCCATTTCTCCATCCTGTTGGGATTTGGGGCACAGATACCCAGCGTGTTTTCCAAGCCCCCGACGCCAAGTTTCAAATGACAGGATCAGCCATGCAGGATCTAGTTTCCCTAATCACCAGGCCACAGGGCCAGGCAGTGCTAGTAACATTTTAAGAATCACATTTATTATTAGTTAATGTAACTTCCTTCTTCCAGTAAAATTAAGATGAAGGCTGACAATGACAAATCAGGAAATATTTAGATTTAGCAGGATTATTAACAACATTGAGGCAGACTAACTTAGCAGATTCCAAACATTTCAGTTCCCGAGATTTGCTACAGATAACCATGAACAAGTATGAAAAGCATTGCAAGGAACAATGGAAGGGAAGGAACTGCTATGTATTCTCAGCAACTTTCCCTGGACTCTCTGACCCAAAAACTGATGGTAACGAGGAAATATAAGTGAAAAAAAATGTCCTTCTCCTTCCACCCGGACAGCTACCGTCTACTCCCCTACAAGCCCGCAGCGGTGAGGAATGAATTCACCAACGACCTTAACCTCTCTGCCAAGCCTGCAGTTCTAGGCAGCATATAAGCCAACTATCACCTACTGAATTTGGATTTTCTTCAGTATAAAAATGAAAGTGACTCGTGTTTGGTCATCCACTCCCACACAGCACTTTCGAAAGGACAGAGGAGCTTGAATCCTCCGTCTGCCAACGAATGTCGGGACTTCACACACACACAACTAATGATAAACCATATCACTACCACAGTTTTGTGTATTATCCCAGGTACATGATGCTGAAGAAGAGGGAAAAAAAACTCAAAAGGAAAGTTTTCAAGTTTCTCTATTCTGAGTTCAAGGAATTTACCCATTTACCATTTATGTCCTTGATATGCACAAATGAAAAACTGCCACCTACACCAGATCCCCAAAATGCTGATCACTGTTGAAGCTGGATGATGCACACGAGCGTTCATTATGTTATTCTTTGCATATATTCGAATATTTCCATAATACGTAGTTTTCAAAATGTGTAAATATGTGTAAGTCATTCATCTACCTATGGAACTCCTATTACAACAAACCACCACAGAAATGTTCTGATGTTCAAAATTTTCATGCTGCAAAAATAAGTTTCATCTAGCTCCTTCTCATTCTAGGAGTTGTTCTGCAGGTGCCCAGACTATTAGTAAAGGTCTACGGAAGGAAATAATTAACTGCCCTGGAACTGAACAAGCCTCACCTTGAAAACATGGAGGCAAAAGGAAAGAGCCTAAACAGTTATTACAGCTCCTGCACATTCAGATATAAGCCTATCTGTAAGCTTCCAACACAGGTGGGTAGAAGAGAGGAAAGACATTTAAGGCCAAATTTCCTTCAGATTTTTTAAGCTGATAGGCAGCAAAGGATCAAATGAAAAAAAATCTAAAACGTTTCCATAAAAATGACAACCACGGTTAGAAAAGAATAAGGAAGAAGAAAAGTTATTTCATATCCAGCTTATAAAATCAGCCTTTGTAGCCCATAGTAGTATAATCAATTTCCGATCACTAAGTATGCTATACTATTCGACATGAATCTACAAGACATGAAAGATTATACTATTGTTGCCTCAATCCTTTTTTAAAATTGCTATTCCATTTTCACAATATTACCGCAAACGTTATCAAAAATTCATTCCAAACTTGAGCCTTCCATAGTTCGGTGGAAAACTAAAACCAATGAACAGTTCAAATCAATACTAACTTTGCAGCAAAGTAATCTTTCACCAGCCTATAAATAAGAATTTGGGGTTTAAAACTTCCTATTAAGCAAAACAGAACTGCGACCGATTTAGATTTCTCAAGTCCAAAAATGATTACAAGAACTTATTTTAAATGTTACAGAAATGCAAACTTATGCATACACGCCAAGAAAAAAAAAAGTGATGGGTAACTCCAGGAGAGCTCTCTAATATTTCCAGTGCCACACATTATTTCCTGAGCACGCAAGTGATCCACTCACTTTCACGCACCCTGAGGCATCGAAGTTTGCACGATTGCCCTGAAACTGAAAGCTACAAGAAATGATTTCACTTAAGTCCGTGAAACGTGCTTCTATACATGCAAAGGGCCTTCAAGTGTGAGAACAGCACATGGCCCCAGCTACAACGCCTGGTTCCCCAGCCCACTGAGAAGAGTGCAGGCTCATGAAATATTCATCTACTTACCAGGTTAAAGACAGTTTCTACAATGTCCCTGTTGGATACTTCTCCGACTTCCACCAGACCGGTCAACACAGCGAATTTCATTCTGATGCCCCTGATGGGGAGCCCCGGTGTCAGAGACAAGGCCCCCCCTTCGGCAGGGGTTTCTTCTTTCCCTCCACCTCCCCCGTCATCACCTGTTGGTGGCGGGGAAGGGACACGATTGTCCTCGCTAGCCATTGCTAGTTCTCGAGAAAGGACGACGCGGAGTCACCCTGGGACAGCAGTCCCCGCGCGAGTAATCAGCACAACGCACGCAGCGCAAAACGGAAGGGGTCTCTCTTCCAACTTGTGGAAAACCCCAAAAGCGGTGGAGGTGGTAAGTCCTTGGCGTCGCCCTCCTCCGCCTGGAGAATTATTTGTCCAATCTCTCTCCCCGAGGCTGACAACAACGCCAAACCCTATTGGAAGATTAGATATATGTTAAAGAGGCTAGGTTTTGTTTTAGGGTGTGGGGGGGAGGTTGCTGTTACGGAGGGGACAGGGAAACAGTTCCCGTCCGACGAGTAAGTTCCAGGAGGCACCCCACTCCCAGCCTCCCGCTGGCGGCCGCGGCGCAGGGCCGGGAAGGCGGGTCCCCGAGGCCCGGGAGCAGCTCCCTCCTCCCCCCAAGCGCAGGTTCGCGCGGGCGACCTCCCTCGCAGGTGCACGGAGAGGAACTGTCGCGGGGGTCGGGGCGGGTGCGAGGGGACGAGGGGCCCCCGGGCTCGCAGGAAATGTGCTCCTCCCCCCAGACCCGCGGGCTCGTCCTCCCCCCCCGCCGGGGAGCCGCGAGACGGAGGTGGCGGCGGAGATCCAGGGCAGGAAAAGGCGGGGGCAGGGGGCGGTGATTATCTGCGCTCGGCCCCGGAGGCGGAGTGGAGCACCTCTCGGAGCCACCTGAGGTCCGACGGGGAGAGGAGGGGAGACGTGTGTGGTGGCGGGGCGGGCGGGGAGGCCCGGCGGCGACGGCGAGGAGGGCGGGGAGGAGAGAGGTCGGTGCACCTGGTTGCAGCCTCCGAGCTCCCCTAGTCGGCTCCGCGGGGGGGG